TTTCATTCTGCACACACATCCTAAATATATCAATCACCTTGGTTATTTTGAATTGGAAGTCTGAATCCACACGAGCACACACACACACACACACACACACACACCACTGTTCTCTGTTCTTACAGCATCTGCCAGGTTCACTGTCTAACAGGGGATTCAGTGACGTCACTGAACTCTCTACAGTGTTAAATCCCTCGTTTCTATTTTCTTACAAACATGCACACACTCACACAGGTTGTGGGGAAAGCGGAGGCTCTGAGTCCTCTATGACTCATCGATGCTGCTGTCTGACGTAAGAGCATAACTAGCTACTAACTTTTTATGGCAAAAAAGTAGGAATGACTGTGTTTTATCTCCCACCATTCTGTCCCCCTCCTTTGTCTTATTGTGCGTCTGTCTGTCTGTCAGAGGCGCTGTGTTTTTGATATTCTTCTTTGTTGTTGTGTAAATCCACAGCTCCACTGGCTGTTTGTTTTTTTTCCGACTATCTGTGTCTTCTCTGGTGGCTGATTCTTCTCTCGCCACAGTGTGTTTATTTTCCTTTATTATGCTATTCTTTTTTTGTATGTTTATTCATGTTATGTATTCTCCCTTCACGGCCTCTGTTTTTTCATTTTTTATCTCCTTTCATCTCTACCACCTTCTTTACTCCGACTCCCATACTTCCTTCTCTCTCTCTCTCTCTCTCTCTCTCTCTCTCTCTCTCTCTTCTCCTCCTTTACTGCTGTGGAATACTAAATAGAAGTTAACTGATTGCTTTTCTTCCCCAGAAACACTGGATACAACTATAAGGCTGCCTTTACTGGTTTCTATGGCTACAGCCTCGGCTCTCAGCTTTGTTAAGTAGAGGTGAAAGAAGGGAGGGCGAGGAAAATGATGAGGTGGAATAGGAAGATTATTGTGTGGTGTCATCCTGACAGATACTACAAGGAAAGGAAAGTGAACGACTTGTCATTGTGACACAGCACACCACTGCACACAACGAAATGTGACCTCTGCTTTTAACCCATCACCAAAGTGAACAGTGGGCAGCTTTAAGCGCTCAGGGAGCAGTGAGTGGGGACGGTGCCATGCTCAGAGCACCTAAGTGGTAACTTGGCAACTGGTGGATTCGAACCTGAAGCCTTCCAGATCCAAGTCCGCTTCCTTAACCACTGCCCCAAGAAAGAAACAAAAAAGAAAAAGAAAAAAAAAGACTAGTAACCCTAATTTAGGCACTCTAATGTTATTGGCTAAGAGAGGATTTAACACCCTGTCTGTATATATCCAAGCCTTCAGGCATTTATTGCTAATTTAGTAAAATGGCATATAAATGGCCGTTTTATATTTTTGATTTGACCAATGTTTGTTTCGTATAGATAGGGCAAAAGTAAAAAACAGACTTACCCACTTACAGTCAGAGACAGAGAAGAAGAGGAGGGCGTTTGGTTAGGAGAAATGTAGGTACAATGACAGGGAAAAGTAGAGAAATAGCTGATGTGATGGAGAGAAGAAGAGTAGATATTTTGTGTGTGCAGGAGACCAGGTGGAAGGGCAGTAAGACTAGAAACATTGGAGGAGGCTACAAACTGTTTTATCGTGGTTCAGATGGGAAGAGAAATGGAGTAGGGGTGATCCTAAAGGAAGAATATGTAAGAAATGTGGTGGAGGTGAAACGAGAGTCAGACAGGTTGATGTGTGTGAAGGTAGAAATATAAGGAGTGATGATAAATGTTGTTAGTGGTTATGTCCCACAGGTGGGCTGTGAGTTGGAAGAAAAGGAGAAGGTCTGGAAGGAGCTGGATTGGATGGAAGGGAGGATTCCCCGGGGGGAGGGGGGGGGGATTGGGAGCGCGCCAAATAGC